TTCACCTAAGCCGATCAAAGACAGAATATATGGAGTGCAAGTTCAGTGCTAATGGAGGCCAAAACGAGTTAGGGGTGAGGATCGGAGATCAAGAAATACCAAAGAGCGACTGTTTTCGTTACCTAGGATCTATCTTGCAAAAGAACGGAGAATTAGATGGAGATCTCAACCATAGAATACAAGCTGGATGGATGAAGTGGAAGAGTGCATCCGGCGTGTTGTGTGACCGCCGTATGCCACTGAACCTCAAGGGAAAATTTTATAGGACGGCAATAAGGCCGGCGATGCTGTATGGCACAGAATGTTGGGCGGTGAAGCATCAACACGTACACAAAATGGGTGTAGCGGAGATGAGGATGCTTCGTTGGATGTGTGGGCACACGAGAAAGGATAAGATTAGGAATGAGGATATCCGGGGTAAAGTAGGAGTAGCCGAAATTGAAGGAAAGATGAGAGAAAATCGGTTACGGTGGTTTGGACATGTGCAAAGAAGGCCTACTGACGCTCCGATTAGAAGATGCGACTATGGGACAGAGGTTCAGGGCCGAAGGGGTAGAGGAAGACCTAGGAAAACTTTGGAAGAGACTCTAAGAAAAGACTTAGAGTACTTGGATCTAACGAAGGACATGACACAGGACTGAGCACAATGGCGTTCTAAGATTCATTTAGTCGATCCCACTCAGTGACTTGGATTTTCCAAGTCTCCAACCGAGAAGTTTTCCTCACTCGGGAAATTAAGGGAACACTACCTCAACCTACATGCTCCACTCACAAAGCTTCAACATACAAGCTTCAACAAAAGAAAATTCAAAGAACTTAGCGAAGAAGGCTTTGGTGTATTTCACACAATACGTTGAAATGAAGGAAAGCTTATTTATTGATATCCCCGATAAGTTACAAATATGTACATATACATGAGTCAAAAATAACAAACAAGAGGGAGCCTTCACAAAGGTTGCTTAGGAGAAGTCTCAGCAGTCGGTAGAGCCCCAGAAAGAGAAGGCACCGGAGGGGGATCATTCTGGAGCCTCAGTACTGGACAGAACCCTAGAAGGAGGAGGCATCAGAGGTTGATCATTTGGAGCTTCATTACGCGGTACAGCCCCAGAAGACGAAGGCAATAAATGCCTTTGGAACAAACCCACAAATCTCTGATGATCAAGTAAAACCTGACCATCAGATTCCTTCATCTGGTCAAGCTTCCTCTTCATGTTTGTAGCATAGTCATGTGCGAGCCGGTGCAACTGTTTATTCTCATGCTTGAGCCCTCTAATCTCCTGTTTGAGACTCATCACTTCAGCCGCCAATGATTCAACTTGGCGGGTTCGAGCAAATAGGCGTTGGGCCATATTAGACACAGAACCTGCACACTGAACACTGAGAGCCAGCGAATCCTTAACAGCTAACTCATCAGACCGTTTGGAAAGTAGTCTGTTATCTTTGGGAGTGAGAAGGTTCCTGGCCACCACCGCAGCGGTCATATCATTCTTCATCACGGAATCCCCAACGGTAAGAGGACCAGTAGGGGAGACGAAGGATGGGCGCCATATGTTGTCTGGAGAAGGCGGGGCTGCCTCTTCAACAAGGTTCAAGTCAAAACGACGGTCGGAGGGGCCAGACATTTTCAAAGGTGTTGAAGAGAGAAGAGGTCGGACAAATCAAGATCTTAGAAGTGCAAGAATGGAGCTTCTACTGGTGGAGATTCAAGTGTGCTTTGGAACTTAATGCCAGCCCCTATAAAAATCTGCACTCGACGGAGCTTCAGAAATCGAAGAGGCGCCTGCTCAGAAATCGAAAGAGGCGTTTGCTTTCTCAAAAGCTGGGCTGCTTCAGAGACCACGAGGGTTCGATCTCAGAAATCGAAGAGGCGTTTGCTTTCTCAAAAGTTGGGCTGCTCAAAGACCACGAAGGCCGATCTCAGAAATCGAAGAGGCGCTCGCTTTCTCAAAAGCTGGGCTGCTCAGAGACCACGAGGGCCGATCTCAGAAATCGAAGAGGCACCTACTTTTCCAGCCTTGTCAGCACCTGTCACACGCACACTCAGCTTTGCGGAAATTATGGGCATTCTGTCGAAGACTTCTGGTGAAGTAGAAAAGCACATGAATCTTACTGTTCAAATCACCCACTTCCCACACGCAACAATAGCTCATGGGTACCACAGATAACTTTGCCAAAGTTCTCTGCCAAAGTTGAGACACGTGAAGCTTGCAGCTCCCACTACATCGCTCTGACCAAGAAGGGTAAAAGAATAGCAAAGAAACAGCACTAACAAAGTTTAGACACATAAATTTTGAAGGTCTAGCTACCATATTATTACCCACAAGGGTAAAGGAACAGTACCACTGCTGGATAATTGGAAAGTCCCTGTGTGTCAACCTCTGTGCTTCGTGGCAAGGTAGACTAGCAAACATGCCCAACCTTTTACTCACATTCGAGAAAACACTCCCAACAAGATTGCTTGCTCCAAAATCGAAGAGGCACCGTCCTCCGAATCTCGAGAGCCAGACTCCCAACATGACTACTTTCTCAAAAATCGAAGAGAGGGTAAAGGAACAGTACCATTGCTGGATAATTGGAAAGTCCCTGTGTGTCAACCTCTGTGCTTCGTGGAAAGGTAGACTAGCAAACATGCCCAACCTTTACTTACATTCGAGAAAACACTCCCAACAAGATTGCTTGCTCCAAAATCGAAGAGGCACCGCCCTCCGAATCTCGAGAGCCAGACTCCCAACATGATTACTTTCTCAAAAATCGAAGAGACACCGCTCTCCGAATCTCGAGAGCCAGACCCCCAGCATGATTGCTTTCTCAAAAATCGAAGAGGCATCGTTCTCCGAATCTCGAGAGCCAGATCCCCGATAGGATTGCTTGTTCAAAAACCGAAGAGGCACCACTTTCCCAACTTCAAGAGCCGGATCTCCTTGGATAAAGCTTGTCTGTAATCTTCACACGCAACATCAGCTTTCCAGATACCACAGACCACTTTTTCAAAGTGCTCTGACAGAGTTAAAACATGTGAAAGCTGGCAGCTCCCACTACCGTGCTATGACCAAGCAGGGTAAAGGAATAACATTACTACTTGTTGTTAGGGAGACTCCTATATATGTCGACCTCCATCCCCAACGGACAGGCAGACCTGCAAAAATGCTCAACCCTTCCTTATATCTGAGAGGGCACTTCCAACGAAGCCTTTCGAAATATTCAGCTTTCTTTCCCCCCGATAATACCTCTGCAAACAAGCTATACTAGAGCAAGAATATCTCATATCATCAGGGTTAAAAGCAAGAGTATCCCATATCATGCTTTTTCCCTGTCTTTTCCTTTGGCCTTGTTCTTACCTGCAAGACAAGGAGAAAGAGAGCAATCAGTCAGCACTTGGAATCAAGCTTCCAGCCAGGAACTGACTGCCTGGAACCCCTTACCTGATTACTTACCTGGCATTGCTCTCGAGTACTCATCTTTAACATCTTATGCTTCCAAGGGAAGAATACCGCATCTGCCTGAGGAACAGGTAGGGCAAGTGAGAAGGATACAAGGAAGCATGTGGAGACAAGCGTAACAGCACACGTGCCGATACATCCACTACTCTGTCAAAAGCAAAAGTATCCCATATCAGCAGGGTCGAACGTACTCTAGATTTGAGGGACTTGTTTTGACCCTCAAATTCTTCAGTCGGCCTTATACTCTGGAGGAAACCAGAAAACCCTCCAGCTCAATTCAAGAATAAGTCTGTGGAAAGTTACTTCTTCAAAAGCAAAAGTATCCCATATCATCTCTTCTCATTTTTCTTCTCTTCTCATTTTTCTTCTCTTTATCCTTCATGCTGCCTGCAAGATATGGAGAATGTGAACAATTAGTCGGAGCTCTGATTGCTTACCTTGTCTGTCACCTCTTTCAGCAGATCCCCTAGCTCGGCGACTTGGGGACTCCTACTACATGGTTTGTATCGCGCTTGACCAAGCCTGAAACTACAAGTAAGATTCAAGTGAAATTGATACATTACCTTGTGCATCTCCACCAGTTAAAGATACCACCCCTGGATGGAGGAAGAGTAATTCCAGAGAAGGTGCCACATCTACCTATGAGACAGATAAGGCAAGTCAAGACGATACCACACTCCGATACTTAGAAGTTTCGTGATTACGAGATCATTCTCCCACAATATTTCCTAATGTCATTTGTACTAAATCATTCACTTGTACTCACTAAAGGAGAGCTTGAACCTATGTACGGGTGTAAACCCTTCACAATTAATGAGAACTCCTCTATTCCGTGGACGTAGCCAATCTGGGTGAACCACGTACATCTTGTGTTTGCTTTCCTATCTCTATCCATCTATATACTTATCCACACTAATGACCTGAGCAATCTAGCGAAGATCACAAAAAGCGACCGTTTTCTCTACCTAGGATCTATCTTGCAAGAGAACGGAGAATTAGATGAAGATCTCAACCATAGAATACAAGCTGGATGGATGAAGTGTAAGAGTGCATCCGGCGTGTTGTGTGACCGTCGTAGGCCACTGAAGCTCAAGGGAAAATTTTATAGGACGGCAATAAGGCCAGCGATGTTGTATGGCACAAAATGTTGGGCGGTGAAGCATCAACACGTACACAAAATGGGTGTAGTGGAGATGAGGATGCTTCGTGGGATGTGTGGGCACACGAGAAAGGATAAGATTGGGAATGAGGATATCCGAGGTAAAGTAGGAGTAGCCAAAATTGAAGGAAAGATGAGAGAAAATCTGTTCCGGTGATTTGGACATGTGCAAAGAAGGCCTACTGACGCTCCGGTTCGAAGATGTGACTACGGGACAGAGGTTCAGGGCCGAAGGGGTAGAGGAAGATCTAGGAAAACTTTGGAAGAGACTCTAAGAAAAGACTTAGAGTACTTGGATCTAACGGAGGACATGACACAAAACCGAGCGCAATGGCGTTCTAGGATTCATATAGCCGACCCCACTTAGTGGGAAAAGGCTTTGTTGTTGTTGTTGTTGTTGTCTCAGGAACAGTTTGAAGGATTAAAATGTGGCAGTGAGATTGCACTCTTCACTACTTTGTAAGTTCGACTGACTCATCCTATAAGAATTGTTTCGGTTTGTGTTTGCTGTTTCCATTCAATGTAATCCCTCTTCTCATTTACGTTTTCAAAATTGTTTTCTTTTAAGTTGCGCAATGTTTATATTTTTCGCCATGATGGTAGTTTTAGGGTCTATGATTTCATTTTTGGTGATGAATGTCCATTAATAGCTATTAATTTATTTATTTATTTAGATCTTGCAAGTTCGAGGCATTGGTGATGGAGATAAATTTGTTGCAATTTACAAATCATTTGAGCAGACGTTTCCTGATTGTAAAATGGTTTTACCAAGTCTTCTTCCTTATAGGTAATAGATCTTGGGTTGAATTCGTTTGCTTCATAGACAATTTCTGAAATTCTTTTACTATTTCTCACCTGATTTCAGTCAACAATGCTAAGCAAAATGAAAACAAACCAATTAGATTAAAGAATGCTACTCATGTTCCTTATTGTAGATAGTGTTGTAAGTACATTTTCCACATGTATATAAGTAGTATGGCTTATCATACATACATTTAAAACTTTATACATGTTTTGTACAGTTTGAAAACCTGCAGCACTGTGCGGGTACTCTTGCTAGTAAAATTTACTTGTTACAAAGTAGCAGCACAATGGAGAGCTTCTCAATAATTAACTTGTCCTTCGCACCGTCGAGGTTTCCTTTTTATGGCGACGCCAAGCTGCTTGCAAAGCATAAGCTGCCCTTGGTTTCCATTGCTCCACGTTAAAGCTAGTATTAAGGCTCGAGTGGTGGCGTTGCTCTTTGGTGAAAAGCCACCAGAATTTAAAGACTACCGTCTTCAATTGCTGCGCCCTTAGAACAAACACTTCAACTTCCGTTTGCGCCTTGACAGTTTCAGTTGACAAGGGGAAGTTAGATAAGCTGGCAAGGTGGATCAGCACCCAATCGAAAAGCTCTTCTCCATAGAAGTCACCTTTGCCAAGAAATCTTACCCTAGCAGTAGCAGAGGCGGTGTAAGTCAATAGCTTACCGCATGTGACGAAGAGCATCTCAGCAAGTGGCTCTCCCTCATGAAAAATGATGCTGTTCTTCGCGTACAGCACCGGCGTGAGATGTTTGCAGATGGCGAACAACAGTTGCTCGTCCATGGTTTGAAGTATTGGCACTTCTCTGAGTGGACCTGAGCAGAGATGCCATTTTATATCCTTACAAAGTTCCACGGGAAGAAGGTGAAGAAAATTCTCATTGCGTATGTTTTCTTTCAGTTTGTGTTTCATGGATTGCCAAATCCGCGCCTTAAGACTCCGCGGAAGTGAATGGTAATACATCCACAATTCTATTTCTTGTTCCTTCGATCTCATTTCCTCCGATCTCGCAACTTTTGACAGCAAATATTTCTGTGTGACAAGCGACAACAAAAGGCTGCTCATCAGGTTTACATAAGTAAATTAGATTATCTGATAAACCAATACGCAATCGGTCATTTGATAATTAGATAAAGAACTAGGAGGGAATGGTTTAGCACCAACCTGCAGATTTCCAGCAAGAATTGCAATTACCACCAAGCCAGATATCGAAACAAGTAGTGAAAAGTATACCTCCCATACGTCGATTGTAGCGGGCTTGAGGCCTTGGCCGAGGGAACTGCATAACACGTTACAACAAAACATATAAGAGGAGATCCTCAAAATTGTTGAATCCAAAAGCAGTATAAAAGAGATTCTCTCAAAAGTAGGATAATTTGGATAAGCAAAACCTTAGATTTTGTATCCCCCACCAGAAGCAGTAAGAAATCCTTTTTACAAAAGGAGTTGAATCCAGAACTACAAATTTAAGGGCATCAGAGTATATTCCAAATTTCATTGTGTCTGTAGAGCAAGAGTCGTATGCGAATGCTTTAGCTTCAAATGTGTCATCGCAATATAAATAACAATGCGCATCTCCATGCGATTCACAGACTTGTCGCCAGCACGTTGCTATTCTTCCTAAAGAGAAAAAATACCAAAAGGCTCCAGCAACCTACGTACAGAACCAGAAAATTGGAATATAGAAGAACAAAAGTGTTTCAGAATGTTGAAGAACTGATTAGAAAGGAAAATGATAGGGAGACCATCTTTTTAGACCATATTTTGTAAAACACATGATGTGGCGGTTGATGATTGAATTCCTTCTATATATCAAAATGGTTATGGAACTTACATGACCCGCAAGCATAAAAAGAAAGAGATCAGGCCATGCAGATTCGGCGAAGATGCTAGAACCCCTTAGAGATACTTTTAACAAAGAGACGATTCGAAAAGCCCTTAGCAGATATTGAAACATAAACATCAAGATCAATAGATTTGTTTCACCGGAAACGCTCGAGTTATTTCGTTTTGGAAAGACAGCAAAAACTAGCTCCTGGACATATCAGAGCAAGCATATAAGCTAGCATACCTTGTAAATATTATAGCTTAACTATATATAAAACGGCTTTCCATACCTGTGGAAATGGAAGAATCATAAGCCCGTCGAGTAGCAGGTACAACGACAAATATTTCCGTGCTCTTGCCCGAGTCTCTGCAACCGATTCGCCTTGTCGAGAGGCTTGAAAAGAATGAGCAACAATGCTTGCACGGTATTGAAAAATGATATGAAATATATAAAAGAAATCGATGCTGAAACGCAGAAGCGCAGTTACGGTCCCCAATGTTTTGTCCAGGGTAAGGCAATTCTGCTCGTTGTTAACCGTAAGGAGGTAAAAGAACAAAGGATCGGTTGAGAGAGCGATAACACAGAAAACTAAAAGTATCTGATTCCACCTCTGCAGGACGAACTCCCGTAAATCAAGACGCTTTTTCATGGGGAATTTTTTCTGTGCTTCCCTAATATTCTTTGGGAATTTTTCTGCAGCATTTTTTTCTAAGTCACAGTGATGTACCCTGAATTATACAACATTTACAAACAGAAATTGGCTTAGAACTTTTACCCTTAAAATTCAAAATGGCAAACATAAAAAGGATAGCATTCGCTTACCGCGGAATTTGAACCACCATGGCCATTTGCCAGTGCCTCAAATTCTAACCTAGCAGATTATTTGCCGGGATAAAGAAAAGAAACGACTCGAAAACTAGGGAAGAAGAAAGAAGTAAAATGATCAAGTGTCAGAAAGGTTTCATGAAAACCGGTTGAATTCCAAGAAATGCAATATGTTGGACGTAGGAAGCAGCAGCAACAGCGACCCTAAGAAGTGCTAAAACAGACTAGTTCCTTCAAGTCAACAGACCCATTCAAGGGCATGGATCCAGTTTACACAGTATTCTCAAAGAAACTTCGAGGAGATTTCATTCCTCACAAGGCAACAAATAAAGTCAACCAGTCTTCTGAGTCTGATGACTTGGGCTTATGACATTAATTATCGTTTAATTTTTAAATGTGGTTGTTGAAAGTTTTGAGACTCTTGTCCCACATTGGAGAAAAAAAGATTCACAAGGACATTTATATAGATTTAATGCTTTAATCTAGTAATTACAACATGGGCTATTTGGAAATGGATTGAAGGCTTAGGCCTTATGGTTGTGTGGATTAGGCTTGTATATTATAGCCTAAATACAATTAATATTAATTAATCAAGACAAGGGCCTTGGGCCTTGGAATTTAAAATTAATCTGATTCATTAATTTTAATTTTCGGATTAAGTTTTTAATTAATTTATTAATTAAAAACGTTTTGATTAAAAGACACAGCTCTTAGAAAGAGTTGTGTACCTTCAATTACACTGAACAGGTATTTGAAAGGGTGTGAAACAACTTATATATTTGCAATCACAGTTTCCAAATGGATTATCTTTTCTTGTTCCTTTCATCTGTACGAATTTCTAGAGAGTAAACACACAAAAAGCAAATTCGCTAGAGTTCTAGAATCCAGTGCGGATTGTAGAATTAGATAGTTGAATCCTGGTCGAGCAGACGTCGAAGAACCACAAGCACAAGAGTAGGACGAAAATACTGTTCGAAGGACGTAGCTTTTACGCTAACCTCTACCTTCTGTAATCAAGTTAGTAACATTAATTTCTGTATTCATTGTATAATTTTCATTTTGCACAACAAGTATATTTTGGTTAATAAAATAGTAGAATTTCTGTTATTTTGTTTATTTCTGAATTGTTCTCCAACAATGGTTTCTAAAAAATTTTGGATGCTTGTACAAGGTGATCCTTCAAGGATGAATTTTTGGATCCGTCATTGGTTCAACTTCGCATTGACAAGAAGAAGAATTCAAACTGACCGCACTGCTTTGACCAATTTGCTTAACATGCATCTGCTTAATTCAAAGTTCACATACACTTTTGTGTGTGTGATATTAAAGGACGATCGCTCACATGCACATCTGAACATCTGGTTCTAGGACGTTGATTATAAAAGTTAAAACTAAGAGCATGCTTAACTTATTAGCTATACTTATGCTTGAAGTAATTAGAAGAATCAATTTCGCTTCGAAGGATCGGCTTGCATACATAACTCTATGAAAAAGTCTTTATCACCGAACATTTGATGTTGAAGAAGCATTACAACTACAAAGGGAGATAAAAAGTAAAAAGGATTGGAATGACTATGTGATCTGCACTGCACATATATGGACAGACTATACACTTATCTTTGCCAACCCTAGAGTTGAAGAACCAGTTAAGACCTTGACGATAGCATGAATGCATGCAACTCCAAGAATGGCTTATATATATTCGTCAGCAGTTCTGTTACACCCCACCCCTATTTTATTTAAAAATGGTTTTTAGTTTTTAATTGGTGAGCCTAAGGGGCCCACCCTTGATTTTTTTGTCCCCCGAGTCTCTCTTATCTCTTCCCTCTCAGTCATCTTTTTCTTCCTTTTCCCCGTGCTCTCTCTCTCTCTGCACTCTCCTTCTGCCCGAGCTCCACACACATACACACACACACACACACACACACACACACACACACACACACACACACACACACACACACACACACACACACACACACCCACACGCACCCATCTGCATTTCCTGCTCGAGGAAGACACCACCATCATCATCAGAACCTCTGCAGTTTTTTTTCTCTCTCTCTCTCCTATTGCTGTAGGGACGACGAAACCCCAGAAACCTCCGGCGAGGTTTTCTTAATTTTTCGGTTAGGTGAGCCTTGAACTTCCTTCTTTTCGTTCTAGATTGAAGTATGAATGTGTTTTAAATGGGTTTTATTGCGTTGTTGTTGAGGTTTTAGAACGAAATCAGTTTGGGGGAAAGCACACCCATCTCTGGCGAACCCGTGTGAGTCGAGGGATTTTCCGGTCGCCTCCAGCCGTTCTACGGAAAAAGGAAGGTATAAAATTGCTTCCTTTGTCTTGTGCTTCATTTTGGTACCTAGATCGAAGCCTAGGGTCGTTGTTTGCAGTCGGTCGGAGTTGTAGAAGCTTCGGCGTTCTTCTCCGGTGCACCCAGGTCTTTCAGGGCGTTTCCAAAACACTCGAGCCTTAGGCCCGTGGTGAGCTCAGCCTAAAACCCTTTTTCCCTTCAGTTTAGTTATTTAATTTTGGTTGTTTTAATTGTTTTAAGACCCAAAGGTCTTCGGGCCGTTCCTAATAGGCCATTCGGCCCGTTCTTTCTTCGACCCAAAAACCCTTGGCTTCCAGCCTTAGGGCCAGGAGGAACTC